GGGGAGGGGAGGGGAGGGGAGAAAGACAGATGGCCAGCCAGCCAGCCTTACAAAGCATCCTTTAGGGAAAAAAACCTCAAAATTTTAGATTTTTATTCAAGTTATAAAGGTAACAAACTTTTTAGTTTTTGAGACAGGTCTTGCTATGTAATCCAGGCTGGCCTAGGCTAGCCTCATGTTTGAGATTCACCTGCCTCAGCCTCCTGAGTGCTGAGATTATAAGACTGACACCACACTTAACTCACCAGTTTGTGTGTGTGTGTGTGTGTGTGAGAGAGAGAGAGAGAGAGAGAGAGAGTGTGTGTGTGTGTGTGTGTGTATGAGAATTGAACTAAGACTTTACAAATGCTAGGCAAGTGCTTTATTACTGAACTATATCCCCAACCAAATATTTTGAATGTGTAAGTACGGGGATCCATGGGTTCTCCAGAGCTTCTGTAGAAACCTAATAGTGGGCAGATTCCAGCCATCAAGTATGTCGGGAAAGGCTGCAGTGAAAGGACAAGTAGTGAGCGTGGATCCTTGATTACAGACTAAAGTGAAAGTATTTTACGTAGTAAAATGGTAGAATTTTACTACTGTGGTAGTAAAGGAAACATGAGTGTGAGAATGGTAATAAAATAGGGTGAGTTTATTAACCTTGTTTTTCAAATGACTTCATTAACAAAACTTGGTAGGAGAAAGAAGTAATAATGAGAAATTGTGGGGCTGGGAAGATGGCTCAGTAGAATAAGCTCTTGCCTAGCAAGCTCAAGGGCCTGAGTTCAACCCCCAGTTCTGCCAAAGAGAGAGAGAGAGAGAGAGAGAGAGAGAGAGAGAGAGAGAAGAGAGAGAGAGAAAGTAGTATAGATATTTGGGGCCAGGGAGATGGCTCAGTGGAATAAGTGCTTCCCTGGCAAGCGCAAGGGCCTGAGTTCAATCCTCGGTTCCGCAAAAAAAAAAAAAAAATTGTTTCATCTCTGTTAACTAGGAGGTATCAAAAAATGCCATTCAAAGCCCCTAAAAGTCAAGTAATAAGGACACACATACATTTAATAGATTTGAATAGGTAAGGATAGGTAGGGAAGGAAAAGGGTATAAAAAAAGACTACTGAGACAGGATTTCATTATTTAATTGAGGCTGGTGTTGAACTCACCATGTAACTCAGCCTGACTTGAATTTATAGTGATCCTCCTGCCTCAACCCAAATGCTGGATCACAGGTGTACATCACTACACCAGACTCTTCATTAACCAGCTCATGATAACAATGCTCCAGAAGATACAGATGAACAGTAAGTGGAGTCGATGCATAGGGTGAGGCATATGGAAATGGGGTGCAGAGATCCCAAACCCTTCATGGGAACCTTTGCATACTAAGCTATCCAGAAATGCTCCAAACCCTGAACTTTTGGGTTTTTACAGAAGTTTCATTAAGCGGGTGTGGTTGATTATGTCGTTAGTTGTTGGTGATCAGCTTAGCTTTCCACATCATCTTCACTTCTCTGAGACTTAGGGTGGGGTTGAAAGTCTGAGCCCTGTGATTGTGCTTTGGTTTTTTGTATGACTGGTCCCACCCTCCAGTCATCTTATTAACATAATTGCAGCACTGGGGAGACTGAGGCAGGAAGAGTGCCACAAGTTCAAGGCCAGTGTAATTTAGATAGTGAGACCTTGTCTTAAAAAAAGATTCCAAGCCTTTTAGAAGGTATGTGTCAGGAAATCAGGAGGAAGACCAAATATAGTATGTACTTCACAATAGTAATATTAATTTTATTATTGGATGTAGTTAAGGATGAATAGATACCATGGAAATTGAGAATTAAGGCTTTATGTTAATTACTATGTAAGTGCTAGAATTGGAAAGTAATAAGGTTTTGAACAACAGGGCTGGGGAGATAGCTCGGTAGTCTAAGTGCCTGCCCAGCAAGCTCCAGGACCCAGGTTCGATCCCCAGCACCGTATACCATGCCAACCCCGAAACTGGGTGCACCATACCTGCCACCAAAACCAGGCATGGTAGCACAGAACAATAATCCTAGCTCTGGGCAGGCTGAGACAAGAGGATTACCAAGAGTCGGGGCTGTGTAGAAACCCTGTGCCAAAAAAAAAAAAAAATAATAAGATTTTTTATAAAAGATTTTAAGCAATATGTTAAAGTTTAAGCATTCTGTTAATTCTTTATGTAAGGTGAGATAAAACTGAAATTGAAGCTGGATTTATGGTACATGGCTGTAATCTCAGCTACTGAAGAGGCTGAGGCAGGATGATTATTATTTGAGGCCATCCTGGGCTACATAGTGAACCTGTCTCAAGAATGATATAGCAAGACTCTGTCTCACAAATCCAAAAAAAGAAGAGAAGAAAAATTTAAAAGGATAGATAAGTAATTTGGGATTGTCTGAGACGGGTGCCCCACTTGCACATGCTGCCCTTAATATGAAACCCCTGCGAGACCCTCATGGTGGCTGATGTAAGACTGCATTTAGAGAGCACTGCAAGCATCTCTGGAATTAATGAAGAATCAGCCAGTCAGGAGAGCATTGCTGCCACTGGAGCAGTGGGGACACCTGTAGCTGATGAAGTAATAGTGATGGTCATCCCTGGCCATGGATCAGACCCTTCCCTGATTTTCAGATTTCCCACAAGCTTCACAATCTTAGATAATATTAAAAGGGAAAGGGAGGGCCAGGGAGATAGCTCAGCTGTCTAAGCACCTGCCCCCAGGCTGTGCTGGCCTTAATCGGGGCCTTCAAGGCCACTGAAACCATGCATGGTGGCACACGCCTGGAATCACAGCGCTGGGGAGGCTGAAACAGGAGAATCACTATGGAATCCAAGCTGTGTAGTGAGACCCTATACTGGATACAGAAAAGGGGGGCTGTTGTCGTAATGGCGCACACTTATAATCAAAGATACTTGGCTGAGGCACATGGATGGCAAGCTCAAGGCCAGCCTTGGGCAACTTAGATCCTATTTCAAAATTGAAAACATAAAAAGGGCTAGAGATGTAGCTGAGTGGTAAGGTGGTTGCTTAGATGTATGAAGCCCAGGGTTCAATTCCAGCACCACAAATGTAACAAAGAAGGGGAATGAAGTCTTTTAAAGGACTGCTAGTAGTCTTTGCAGTGGTCCTGAAATGTAAAGGCCAAGAGTTCAATTTACTTTTAATCTTTTATTTATTCATTTATTTGGTACACCATCTCACTATGTAGCTCGGACTCATAGTAATCCTCATGTCTCAGC